AGTTCAGAGTTTTCTTCTTTCATCTTAGCTTTCCAGTATGTAGTAAAACTTGCTAAAAAGCAGGGGAAGATGATGTCTCTTTGGAACTCAGATTCATCATTGCTGCCTGATCCTAATTCTTCTGACCATCAAAAAGCCCAACAAAGTTCCTGTCCCTACATCTGAAGCCTAGCATGAAATTGATGTGTCTTCAGGAGCATCTCAACTTTCCATGGACATCTAATACAAGCATGACAGTACATTCAAAAGGCGTTTGACCACCAAAGACTGCAGCTAAAAAAAGACAGAGCTCATTCTTCAGGCTTAAGCGGATTCTAAGAATTCATCTTTCATGAGGGATGTGATTGTTTATTGCCAATTTTGAGTGACCTAAGATGAAAGAAAGGACAGTATGCTCCCAAGTCTATCTGGAGCTGGATGAAAGTGACTTGCTGGGGATATAACCTTGGCATCTGTAGCTCCTACCACTTTCACCTGTTTCACAAACCATTTATCTTTTTTTAGTTAAAGAAAATAACTTTAAAAACTCTAAAAAGTTGCAGTGTTGAATGTTGTCATGGTTTAAGGTTGAGGCTGAGTGCAGAATTCCCATGAAGGTGAGCAGCAAATGATGCAGCTTTTAGATATTGTACTGGTATTATTCAACTTTTTTGCCTGGGGGTTCAACTGAAGAAGACTCCAGCATAAATATGTACAGTACTGTTATTGTTAACAGTCATCAAATCAATTTTTATGGTGATGCTATGAATGAGAGACTTCAAAATCACTCTGTTAGTTTTGTGAGCTATTGGCCGTGACTTCCTTGACTGAGCCTATCCAGCTGTAATGTGGTTGTCTTCTTTCTCCACTGCTTTCCACCTTGCCAAGTGTCACTGTCTTTTCGAACGAGTCATACATTATAATGGTATGGCCAAAGTACGATAGTTTCAGCTTACCCATTTTGGCTTTTATGGATTTTTCCGGCTTAATTTGCTCTAGGACTTGTCTTCTTGGCAGTCCATGGTATCCACAGAACTCTCCTCCAGCACCATACTTAAAATGAGTTGATTCTCTTCCTATCAACATTCTATATTATCCAGCTAATGATATATCTCTATACTCCATAACTTCATCTCGTTCCTCAAAGCTGCTCTTTCAGTATTGTGCATAAGACTTAAACAAGTTATTATGGTATAGGTTAAAGTCAAGCACAGCACAGATATCTTCGGAGTACCTAGTGATAATGAGAAGGTGTTTGCAATGCTTTGTTATAGGTGCATATAGCATCATTTAACAGTCTGCTGAATGAGGCAATGGTGGTGGTAGGTGGGGGGGGGGGGGAGGCAAACATTCATTAACCCAACTTCAAATCTTTAAAATTACGGTATGAAACTTATGGCCCTCCAAATGTTGCTGGACTCCAGTTCTCACCAGCAAATGCAAGAGATAATGACAGTATTATTTAGCACATTTGTATCTCGCCCTTCGCACCCCAAAGAGGTAACAATTTGACACTATACTATACAGATACATATCAATAAAGTAAGGAAATACATTAAAAAGTAGTAGTTCATCAGTATTCGGATGGTCACATGGTTGCCACTGCTACTCTGAACAATGGTGCTTTAAGTAACAATCTGCTATGAGATTGAATGTATATAAAACTATTATTATTTATCCATTCTTTAGAGATACTTTCCCTTTCTTGATGTATTTTTATTCACTGAAGCACAGAATAAGTTATTGGGGAATCAGTGGAAAGCATTTTAAGAATTGCCTCAATTCCAGTGTTCAACAAAGACCAGAAGAGTAGTCTGCAATACTATAGTTTAAGAAATACTTATTAAAATCCTTATGCATTCTTTTGCCTTGACAATAATTTCCTGGACCTTGAATACACGTGATTCTATAGATCAGGGGTAGACAAAGGTAGTATACCTATGGGCCACTTTTCCGTCCCTAGGACTTTCCAGAACTTGCTGAAACTACAAAAAAAAAAAGATTCTAAAAAAGAGAGAAGTGGGCAGACAATAACCTCTAGATTTGAAAAATATTTTACTTGAAACAGGAGGTGGATGATTGGGTGCATCATGCTATTTAGATATATATGGCTTTTTACAACCAACCCAGGATTTGAACCCTGTTCTCCTAGTGTCCTAGCTCAACAGTCAGACCACTACACCATGCTGTAGAGCAGTGGTGCACAACTTGTAGCCCTTCAGGTATTTTAGATTTTAGCTTCAGAATTCTAGGGCAAGCTGGCTAAGGCTTTATTCTGGGAGTTGGAGTCCCAAACACCTGGAGGGCCATAGGTTGTGCACCATTGCTGTAGAACAGAGCTTTCCAAACTGTGTGTCAGGGACACATTAGTACAGTGTTTCTCAACCTTCCTAATGCCGTGATACAGTTCCTCATGTTGTGGTGACCCCCAACCATAAAATTATTTTCATTGTTATTTCATAAATATAATTTTGCTACTGTTATGAATCGTAATGTAAATATCTGATATGCAGGATGTATTTTCATTCACTGGACTAAATTTGGCACAAAAACCCAATATGCGCAAATTTGAATACTAATGGGGTTGGGGGGAGGGACTGGTTTTATCATTTGAGAGTTGTACTTGCTGGGATTTATAGTTCATCTACAATCAAAGAACATTCTGATCTCCACCAATGATGGAACTGAACCAATCTTGGCACACAGGACTCCCATGACCATCAGAAAACACTAGCAGGATTTGGTGGGCATGGATCTTGAGTTTAGGAGTTGTAGTTCATCTACATCTGTGGACTCAAACAATGATGGATCAGGACCAAATTTGGCACAAATACTCAATATGCTCAAATGTGAACACTAGTGGAGTTTGGGGGAAATAGACCTTGCATTTGGGAGTTGTAGTTGCTGGGATTTATAGTTCCCCTACAACCAAAGAGCATTCTGAACCCCACCAACAATAGAATTGGACCTAACTTTCCACACGTAACAAGAGAAAACACTGTGTTTTCTGATGGTCTTCGGCGACCCCTCGGACACCCTCTCGCTATCCCCCGAGGCAGGCCCGTAGCCAGGATTTTGTTTCGGGGGGAGCTGAGTTTGATTCGGGGGGGGGGGGCTGAGTCTGAGTGAAAGAGGTTTTACCCTAGCAAACCTTTTGTACTGTTACCCCAATACCCCCATGCATATGGGATATATTGAGCATGGTGATCAGATCATCATATGAATAAACATAACAGTTTAAATAATGTACCAGTAAGGCCTTCTCGTGGACCACCCTGATAATTTCGGGGGGGGGGCTGAAGCCCCTCAAGCCTGCCCCCTGGCTACATGCCTGCCCCCAGGGGTCCCGACCCCCAGATTGAGAAACACTGCATTAGTATGTCAGCTGCAGTGTGTAGGTGTGTCATGCAAACGTAATGAGAAACCTTTAAGTCTATGTGAAATAAGTGATAAATCATATATATATATGAGAAAGGTTTTATGTGATATATTGTGTCCCCATACATTTCATTATTTGAATGTATGCATGTGTTCATATCTCTTAGAAAGGGTTGGTTTAACCTCTGAATTTCTAGTAAAACTAAATTACTGTGTGGTGAAATTATGCATGCCTAAAAAGGTGTGTCACCAACATTGAAAGCTCTGCTGTAGAGTATAGGTGCCCTAGAAACAGTTTGTCCTTCCATGAAGGTTGGATTCCCTCCCTTCCCATTTTTTATTAACAGAAAAGCTCAAGGCAGCATCTTACTTACAAAACCTCAGAGAGTTGCGACTCTGCAGTTTCTGTCAAGTCTCAGTCTTCCTTTGTCATATATTTTCCCTTAGTTTCTCATCACTGTGTTTTGATCAGCTGTCACATATTCCTCCCTTCTTGGTGGTCACATAGTTACAATTCTTTGCCATCCTTCATTAAGAGGCCCTGACTGTTGAGGAGAGAGGCAAGTCAGTAATAAGCTCAGTCTGAAAAGATAAGAGGGACATCCATTTTAATGGCAACAACTAGAGACCAAATAAATGTTATAGAGCTGTTTTGTTAATGCACCATGTAGTAGGTATTCCATTCAACCATTAGAATTGTATCTCTTTTCAATCACAGTCCTCAATATGGTTCACAGTTCTTTATTCCTTTGCTGTGCTATTTTCAATATAGTCATTCTTTCCCAACTTGTATCACGGTTGATTTTCCAGTGGTTTGCTTCCCACTGATAGGAAATTAATCTCTTGTAGCTCAATTGTACACTGTTGCAGTTTCATCCAACCCACATGGGTTGAGATAAATAAGAGTAAAGAATAACTCCCTGTTCCCATCAACTATTTGACTGACAGATTTACCAAGACTTCCCGGGAGTTGTAGTATCACACATATCAGAAAGGAAAATCAATATAATTGGACATGAGCCACAGAAACCTGTTGATAAATCCCAATGTTCTGTTTTCTTACTGTCACTTTGATTCTATCTATGAACTGGTGACATCAACAGCTTCATTGGGCACTTCACACACTACACAGGAAAGTACAGTTTTGAACATTTGGCTTAATTCTGCAGAGATTCACTGATGCGCGTATGAGCAAACAATATCTGCACATGTTTTAGAACCGTGAATATTCAACTGATACGGTAATAAGGAAAACAGAATAAATAGCCCTAATGATAATCTGCTAAAGTGCATATATACGTAGTTTCATCACTTGGTCTAGTAACTAACCCCTACAAGCACATAATGAATAAACCCTTTTAAAAAGTCACAATCTTTCATTTATCTCTGGAGTCAGATACTTCTTCCTGAAATAGTCTTAACTTCCAGGACTAAAATCATCAGAGATTAACAGCTACAATTCCTGCCAAGGTATCAGAATTCATAAATAATGACTGAATTTGGTCACTACTATAAATACACTTAAAGAGGGAAAAAAGTATATAAGTGGTAAGCATACTATAGGGCTGGCCTCTGATTTCCAAATATAGAGAAGGGTTGAGCTAAGAGAAGAATCAGAGCCTATATAAGCTGACTGAGACTAAAGGTTTCTTGGTGTCTACGAACTGCCTGAGGTAAGTTTAATGCTCTGCTTCTCTTCCTCCACATCTATTTTTTTCTAATTTCTTTCCCTCTTGTTTGAGGAACTTCCAAGTTTGGGGAATTTTGCAATTATTAAAATAGAAAATAAGGGCAGTTCAGTAGAATGGGTGAGTTTAAGAAACTGCCATTTGGTGTATGTGTACTGCAGGGGGATGTGGGAAGATGATTGTAGTCTATTCTAAGCCTTTGTCTATGGGAAGATTGTGAAAAATTCTCAGCTGTTGGACTGCTTGGGAATCCTGGACTGATCAGCATTTAAACCATCTCTTCCTTTGCAGGTTAAACATTTCATCCAGTTCCTTTCTACCTTCTGTTGGGAGCATTTTATAAAAAGGTGAGAAGTCAGGTGTGGGAATGGAGTCATCCTCTTCCTCTCCATAAACTCCTCTGTGTGTGATGTGTTTCTTCAGTCTTTCAGCTTTAAATGGATATAAATTACGTGCTGTGTGAGAGAGAGGGGAGGAGAGATAAAGGCTGTTATATCTGCACATTTTGTGTGAAATGTTAGAACTGCAAGAAATAAATTGACCATCTACTGAAAGCTCTAGTCCCTGTTATCTTCACTTAATATACTGTAATTCACTTTCCCAAATGAGATCCCTAATCTCCTATCAGAAGGTGTTAATCATTTTATTGAAGCTCCTTTCAGCTGATACTTGAGGACTCTATTTCTCATGAATAACAAGCACAGATATTCATTTCTCACACACCTTCTCTACACAGAGACTTTTCTATTCAGACAACATTCTGCCATGCACATGTGGAAATTCATGATCAAACTGACCATATTTTATGTTGGCCATCCTGCTCCAGCCCTGCATATAGAAACATTCATGAGGCTGTGTTGTTGAAAGCTTTCATGACTGGAATCACTGGGTTGCTGTGAGTTTTCTGGGCAGTATGGCCATGTTCCAGAAGCATTCTCTCCTGACATTTTGCCCACATCTATGGCAGGCATCCTCAGAGGTTGTGAGGTCTGTTGGAAACTAGACAAGGGAGGTTTATATATCTGTGGAATGTCCAGGGTGGGAGAAAGAACTCTTGTCTGTTTGATGCAAGTGTGAATGTTGCAATTGGCCACCTTGATTACCGCTGAATGGCCATGCTGGTAGTTTCCAACGGACCTCACAACCTCTGAGGATACCTGCTATAGATGTGGATTAAACATCAGGAGAGAATGCTTCTGAAACATGGCCATACAACCCGGAAAACTCAGAGCAACTGATTCATGAGGCTTTGACTATTTATTCTGTGGAATCATTTATGTTGGGCAAGGAAGAAATTGTAAGAAGGAGTAAGTCAATCCTGTGCAGGATTTCTTGCTCCTGTATGTTATCAGTTCTTCACATCTGTTGTGTTATTGAGATGCAGAAGGCATATTTCAAAGATGTAATTTTTCAGCAGAGAACTGTGCCTAAGGCATGCTTGGAATGAGAGAAAAACAGCTGCCCGCTTCCAGTTTCCCTATATAAGCAACAGGATAATGGACAGATCTAACTTCATTGATGCATTTGGTTTAGTTAGCATCACAAGGAAAGGTGATCTTGTCAAAGACAATATTCACAATTATATTTTCTGTACAAGGTATGTTATTATTGGAATTATATTTTCTCCATGAGACGTACTGAGAGAAAGTTTTCTATTGCTTTCTTTGGGAGCTGAGGTAATGTGACTTGCCACAGCTGGTGGGCACAAATCCTGATCTCTTGGAGTCAAATACTCAAACCACTGTGCCACACCGGCTCTCAACCAGAAGATTACACACACACACACACACAAACACACACTTCCTTTCCAAGGCTTAAGGTCTCACAACCTGACTTGTTTTTTTAAAAAAAATATTGATACATCAATTCAGTTAATAAGCTTTTGCCATACAAGTCTTATCTCAATATACATTATTCTAACCTGATTTGTAACAACAAAAAAGCACTGAAGGCAAATGTTGTATCTGAAGAGTTAACATTTTGTATTTGTGCAACAAACTCACTTCTGTGATACATCATGCTCTAGATTTGTGGATAAAGGCTTTCTAATGCTCAGTGAGTATCATGTCTCTGTTTCAAGTGTCTCAGCCTTGAATAGACCAAACTAAGCATTCTTCTCCTTTTATAGCTGCAGCCATGAGCAGGGATTCAGAAATGGAAGTTTTTGGGGCCGCTGCCCCTTTCCTACGAAAGTCTGAGAAGGAGCGAATAGAAGCTCAGAACCAACCCTTTGATGCCAAGACTTATTGCTTTGTGGCTGATACCAGGGAGGAATATACAAAAGGGAAAATCAAGGGTTCTGAAGGTGGGAAAACCACTGTGGAGACCCATGACGGCAGGGTAAGCATCAAGCAGGGCAGAGGATATCTTTGGTCCCCTAGAAAGCATAACTCCCTCCCTCTCTCCAGAATAAAGAATGTAATAAATCACCAGTTTCCTATTTGTGGTACGATAGAGATAGTATTGGGTTTGGACATGGGAAAACAAGGTTGAAATCCACTGAGCAAAACATTCCTCTCAGTTGCATTTGTTCAGTTGGTTATTCAGCAGATAAACAGGAGAAGAGGTGTAAAGCACATTACACACTGGGATTACTTCTTCAAAGTAAATATAGAAGTGAGATACACAGGTCTCTAAGGAAATAGAGGGTTGTTCTGGTTTTTTTCATATTGGGGATAAACTATAAGTTCCAAGATCCTTGAAGTATTCAATTCAAATAGGTTGTTGAAACAACTGCATTATTTTGAAAACTAGACTTAATTCCTTGACAGTTTTAAATGATCACTACAGTATTGCCTGTCCTTGTCAAGCTAAAGGCAGGTATAAGGAAAAAATAGCTCTAAAGCAAGTAGTAATTATACTCTTTTCAAAGAATAGTGTCTGCACTGAAGTTTGCACCGCTTTCTGACCCTGCTTTATATTATGTCTTTTCCTCTTCACTTTTCAGACATTGACTGTCAAGCCAGAAGATGTATATGCTATGAACCCACCAAAGTTTGACAGAAGTGAAGATATGGCAATGCTGACTCACTTGCATGAACCTGCAGTTTTGTATAACCTCAAAGATCGCTACAGCTCCTGGATGATCTATGTAAGTCGTGTTACCTGGGGCAAAAGAAGAGCCCCCAGGAAGGGTAGGCTATAACAATTCTTCTCTTGGTTTTCATGTAGACTTACTCAGGTCTCTTCTGTGTCACCGTCAACCCATACAAATGGCTTCCTGTATACAATCCAGAGGTTGTGGCTGGTTACCGGGGCAAAAAACGTACAGAGGCACCTCCCCACATCTTCTCCATCTCTGACAATGCGTATCAGTTCATGCTAACTGGTATGTATGAGGCAAATAAAGCATCATAAGGAGAACAGTATTGTGGGAGCACAGATAATTTTATCATATTATCATTGTTTAAATAGAATTAATTCAGTTGTTGCCAACTGTGACTGAGTATATATCTTTATAGCATGGTAAGCATCTTTTCCCTTTTGTCCTAACAGATCGTGAAAATCAGTCTATCCTGATCACGTAAGTAGCCACTTTACATTTGTCTGGCTTTATTTTGGTATTGTAGAATTATGGCAAGCCTAATGTGCTCAATTTTTCTTTACAAGTGCTTAATTGTTCTTGACAGTGGAGAATCTGGTGCTGGAAAGACTGTCAACACCAAGCGGGTCATCCAGTATTTTGCAACAATTGCAGCTACTGGAGATGTATCCAAGAAAAAGGAATCCCAATCCAAGATGAAGGTATGATCAGTAGATCTAGTCACAGAAGTGCATGTTTATCTGGAATATTTAGGCCTGGGGCCAGGCTGTTTGAAGGGCCTTTATTTGATTTCATTAATGCTTCTGGGCAGGGGTGTCAAACTGCTTTTCTTGGAGGGTCACATCAACCTTATGGTTGCTTTCAAAAGACCAATGAATCCATGGATGGAGAATCAAAGAGCATGAGGTGAAAGAGAATTGAATAAGATTTCCTCACTGATCCTGGAGTCTCTTGGGGTTTCTATTTCCTAAATCCATTTCCTACAGAATAAGCCCCATTGTAACTTTATGGTACAGTGGACTCTTGATATCCACTAGGATTTGGTAAAATCTGTGGATACACATCCTACTATATAAAATGGTACAGTAAAATTGTGTTCTTTATATAAAATGGCAAAATGAAGATAGGCTTTTTAGATTATTTTCTTCCAAGCTGTAGACATTTAAATCCATAGATGCAAAATGATTGGCTACAGAGAACCAATTGTGCTTACTTTTGAGCAAACGTGTAGAATTGTGCTTCAAAGGTCAAACCTATGCACATATATCTAGGGGTAAATTGCACTGAACATAGTGAGAATTAGCTCTGGACAAACCTGAATAGGAATGTGTCACAAGATATCATTAATCCAAAAGTATTCAGTAGCAGCTACTGTATATTTATCATTTTGTCTGTGGCTTTTCATATATATATATATTCAAACAATTTCTACAGGGGACACTTGAGGATCAAATCATCAGTGCCAACCCCTTGCTGGAGGCCTTTGGGAATGCCAAAACAGTGAGAAATGACAACTCCTCCCGCTTTGTAAGTGGCACAATATCTCTTAGAAGTGTGGCTCCTATGTTCTCTTTTACATCCTTCCCATAGAACAATTAGGGGGAAATTTTCAGTTGGCTTCAATGACACTTTACTAACTATAGTGCTGAAAGAAGCAACTTGGATGAGTGGGTCACATCTGTGAAAGGATGTTGGGGGGGGGGGGGCTCTCCTTGTGTATGGTGAATTTTCTCCACCACCAAAGAAATTCATTAGGATAGAAGGTTCCTTCCCATCCCAACCCAATTGCAATAGAGTGCACAAACTGCTGTAGCCTCTCCTACTTTGTCTGTTCTTCCCCATTAAAAACTTTTGTCATTTTAACTATATTCTGAAGTAGATTGACTACATATGCCCTGTTTGTAGCCATCCTGAGTCTCTCTGCGGAAGTTGAGATAGGACAGCATATAAAAGCCCAAAATAATAATAAGTTTTTCATCTGTGCAATATTGGAGGGTTACACTTATTTGTGTAATGGCTACCACTTTCTGCTCTGCAGGGCAAATTCATTCGGATTCATTTTGGTGCCACTGGGAAACTGGCCTCTGCAGATATCGAGACCTGTAAGTACAGGTACTTGAATCATAATGCAATGAGAGTGCACATATAAGTGGGCTTATAAGTATTCTTGTGAATTTTTGTTGCAGATCTGCTGGAAAAATCAAGAGTAACTTTTCAGCTCAAGGCTGAAAGAAGTTACCACATTTTCTATCAGATCATGTCCAACAAGAAGCCAGATCTAATAGGTAAGTGATTTTAATGTATCGCCTTTCTGAATTTCAGAGGTTGTGATGTAGGCTATCTTCCAGAGGAAGGAAATGGCAAAACCACCTCTGAGTATTCCTTGTTTAAGGAAACCCTATGAAATCCATGGGGTGGCCATTAGGCAAGTGCAATTGATTATTTTTCCCCCAAAAGTAATTACAAAATTAGGGAGTGCTGGCATTTCATTTCTAAAGTGTTTCAAAAATATAGTTAGTGAAAATTTTGTTAGTATGACGAGAGTAATGAAATTTCGATACTTTTTTGTTATAGTAATTGTGCATAATTACTCTAATTGTGGAAACTTCAGAGGGACCTTTCCCACTCATTTTTACAGCTATTAGGGTGAAACTTGCTAGAGTGGTAGAACATATTTACCACTGTTAGTCAATCAAGTTTCAGAATGTTTCACTTATCCATGGATTTCTGGGGAATTTTCAAAGCTTTTAGAAACAACATTTTTTTAAAAGCTCTTTCCTTGAATTTTCTGTACAATAACATAATATAACAGGGGATCATTCCTCCCAACTTTCAGAAACCTTCATACATCTATTGATTTTAGGGAATTTTTAAAAGTTTTGGCAAAAACCTTTTTTAAAGCCACAACAGCTATCTCATTGAATGTCTCTTATATTAACCAATAACTCTTCAATTTAGGGATTTCTTCCCAACCCAGCACAGATATGTACTTATTAAAAGTATAAGTCAGTCATATATTGACAAATGGCTTTAACACACACAAAAGGCAAAATAGAGCATAGTAGAAGTTGTTGCCCAATTATAGCTGCTCAGAAATATATAACAGAAATTAAAATTATGTTCAAGATTTCTTACCCTTCATACATACATACATACACATGTCTAGAAATAATAGGGACTGATTTTGAACAATTTCTAAATCTCTTTTTATATCTGAAGTCCAACTAATTAACTGAACTCTTTTGTTTATATTTCAGAAATGCTTCTCATTACAACTAACCCTTATGACTATCCATTTGTAAGTCAAGGGGAGATCTCTGTTAAAAGTATTGATGACCAAGAGGAGCTAATAGCTACTGATGTGAGTACAAGTCATGATAAGCACATGCAGTTCCAGTTAAGATGTTAATGACTAATCATTCCGATTATGGTAATTGTTGCATGTACCATCTTTCCCTCTGGTGCAGACAGCCATAGACATCTTGGGCTTCTCTGCTGAAGAGAAAGTTGGAATCTATAAACTCACAGGGGCAGTGATGCACTATGGAAACATGAAGTTTAAGCAGAAACCACGAGAGGAGCAGGCAGAGCCTGATGGCACTGAAGGTGAGGGATCTGATATATATCCTTCTACAGTCTGCCTTCCTTTTTCTCAGGAGTTAAGAGTGGACAACCCGTGCAAAAATGAAAAAAAAAAGAGGAATAAAAAAACAATGTTTAAAGGACCAATTTGGGGTGTGTGTGTCATTTTGCCAGCAGTTGTGGGTGAAATCGAGGGCACTCCGGGTGACTCATCGTGCCCCACACACCTTCCCTTTTTCTTCCATACCATGTGAGGGATGGGAAAAGGCATGTTGGCACCCTGTCCCTATCAGATAGAAGAAAGGGTGGCAATGCTCATTGCCATGTTGCCCTTTTCCTCATCACAAAGGGGGAAGAGCCCAAAAATGCAAGCAGCTCCATCTGAGATACCCCAAACACACTTACCTCTATGTTGTTGCTGTGTCTTGCAATGCTTCCTGGGCCAGGACTATCTTTAAAGTGCTTCAAAGGGGCAAAAAACCTCAGTGAAATGAAGTGGTAGGACCCTTAACCAATCTGGGGATGGGGAAAGAAATAAGGAGGAGAAAAGTAAAAGATTCACAGTGGCCAAGGCTGCTAAATCTGTAATTTTATTAAAATTTCTAAAATGGAGATTGCAAACCTGTGGAGTTGTCTTAAGGTATGGTGATATCAGGTTTCAGGTTTGTCTATAGAGAAAGGTCAGCCTCTACAGATACAATTATCTTCACATGTATTGAAGTGAAACCTGATGCAAATGCATTTGCACTCATTCTAAAAGATTGCAGGCTTCACCTTGTGACTTTAGACTGATTGATTACAGATTTTGTGACCTCAACATCTATAGAAGATTAGATTTTTTTTATTCCTCCCCTGCTCCTTATTCCACTCCAAGTCTAGTAAACAACCAGGAGGCTTGACAACTCACCTTTTAAAATAATATTTCAGTGGTTCGATGAATGATTAGTCTTGTCCCATCTTGCTTTTGCATTCCAACGATGCATAAAACAACTGTATTTCTTTTCTTTCCTTTTTTATTGTATTGTGAGTAAAACAAAAAAAGAAAAGAAATGAATGAATGAATGAATGAATGAATGAACGAACGAATGAATGAAGTGCTGCAGTTTTGCAATCAATGTGCTCTTGTTGTTCTATGGAAGATATTATATGGGATTCAATTAACTTAGAAAATTCAATGACATTTTTAAAGGCATCTGTTTGAAAATGGATTCAAAAGATGTGTCAGGTCAGCTGATGGTGGTGCTTTGACCACATGTCTGAATGACCTATTTCTTCAGATTAGTTCTGCCACAAATGCCACTATCTACATCCCTCTGGACCATAGGGATTCTGAAAGTGTTTCATAACTGCTTGCTTTTTCTATGTTGGGCAGAGGCCGACAAGACAGCTTATTTGATGGGCCTGAACTCTTCAGATCTGCTGAAAGCCCTGTGCTTTCCTCGAGTGAAAGTGGGGAATGAATATGTGACCAAAGGTCAAACAGTAGACCAGGTGAGTGCATTCAGGAAATAAAATGTGTTTGCCAGTTTTATATGAAGAATTCTCAGGCAAGGAATGTTCTCCAGTATGTTCTTCAGTTTAAGTATACAGACTGAGCATCCCTTATCTGGAAGTCTGTAAACGAAAATACTCCAAAATCCAAAATTATCCATGCAGGTGGCTCAGAGAGTAACACCTTTGCATTCTAATGGTTCAATACACATATTTTGTTTCATGCACAACATTATAAAAGTACTATATATAAAATCACCCTCTGTCTATGTGTATAAGGTACTTGAAATATAAATTAACTCCATGTTTAGAATTGGATCCCATTCCCAAGATATCTCATTAGATATATGCAAATATTGAAAAGTCAGAAAAAATCAGAAAACCCAGACACTTCTGGTCCCAAGCATTTTAGATTAGGGATATTTTAACCTGTATCAGTTTTGGAGATATTATTGCAGGGGTAGAGAACCTTCGGCCCTCCAGGTGTGGTGGACTTCAACTCCCACAATTCCTTGAGGCTCGGCATTCGCCCCAAAGGCTTACACGAGCCTCAAGGAATTGTGGGAGTTGAAGTCCACCACACCTGGAGGGCCGAAGGTTCCCTACCCCTGTATTATAGCAACATCAATCCTGCCTTAGAGCTACATAACTACAATGTTTTGTTTTTTTTACACCAGCAAGGGACTATATTGAGGTTTGGGATAGCCAGGGATGAGAGTTGATATGTGAAAATATCTACAGGATCTTTTTTAAGGAAATATTTTTAAAAGTTGAAATCTGGGTTTGTTCAGTCTGTCGAAGAGAAGACTAAAACATGACATGATTGCACTCTTTGAATATATCAAGGTCTGTCACAAAGAAAAATGTACTGAACATTAGAAAATAAAATCAGTTTGGTGATGGAACTAAAATCTGAGGGAGGTGGTGAGATCTCTTTCTCTGGGTGTCTCCAAAAAGAGACTGGACAGCTTCCTGCTGAGGAAACTTTTGCTAGAGATTCTGCATTCAGCTAGCTGTTGGAAGTGATGGCCCATATGACCATTTCCAGTTCTATGATTCTACAATTCATTATTGCCTTTAGTTTTTTTTTTTAGGATAAAACAACTTTATTTACTATTGAAAAAGGTCAGTGTTATTCCTATTATTCCTGAGTGACAAGATAGGATCTGTTTCAAAAACATTGGTGTTTTTATTTTGTACTAAACTCAGGTACATCATGCTGTCAATGCGCTTTCAAAATCAGTCTATGAAAAGCTGTTCTTTTGGATGGTAGCTCGTATCAATCAACAACTGGATACAAAGTTGCCCAGACAACACTTCATTGGAGTGCTAGATATTGCGGGCTTTGAGATCTTTGAGGTAATTAGATCTACTGTGAGCTTTTGACTGTTCCATATTAACTACCATTGGAGGGGGTTTTTTAACTTTGTCCCAGAGCATAGCAACAAATGAATAACACAAGAGTTAAATAAGAATATGCTGTAGACTTTCAGAATCTATGATGGAAAGACTGGAATAGATTTTGAACTTTAACTGTTAATAAAAGAAAATCTATTACTGTTTCCTGTGACTGGACTTAGCAACATAACTAGCATGCAAAAGTAATTAAAAATACTTACATATGTTTCCTCAAGACCAAAGTAATTCATATTAATGGAATATGTGCATTCCACTGAGGTGATCACTCAACAGCCTAGGTTAAACATCAACTTTGTGGGCATTAATAAAACATATTTCTTCTTTCCTGGTAGTACAACAGCTTGGAGCAGCTCTGTATCAACTTCACTAATGAGAAACTGCAACAGTTTTTCAACCATCACATGTTTGTGCTGGAGCAAGAAGAATATAAGAAAGAAGGAATTGAATGGACTTTCATAGATTTTGGAATGGATTTGGCAGCCTGCATTGAACTTATTGAGAAGGTACATTGCATATGTGTCTTGTAAATAAGCACCCACTTCAGCTAGGTATTAGATGATAGATAGATAGATAGATAGATAGATAGATAGATAGATAGATAGATAGATAGATATAGACATATGTATGTATATATGTACACACGCACATACACACAGAATAAATCTGTGTTTGTTTTTTCAATGTAGCCAATGGGCATTTTTTCAATCTTGGAAGAGGAGTGCATGTTTCCTAAGGCAACTGATACTTCTTTCAAGAACAAACTCTATGATCAGCATCTTGGAAAATCTGCCAACTTCCAGAAGCCTAAGATTGTCAAAGGAAAGGCTGAGGCTCATTTCTCCTTGGTGCACTACGCAGGAATTGTGGATTATAATATTACCGGTTGGCTGGAAAAGAACAAGGATCCCCTAAATGAAACCGTTGTAGCACTCTATCAAAAATCATCCATTAAGATATTGGCAAATCTTTATGCCACCTTTGCTACTCTAGAGGATGGTAAGTTATGTAACACTTTATCTTACATCATTTTCCTTTTTATTTTTGAACTCTGCCATCTCTTGACTAAAGAACTGATGAGCATTTACTTGTTCATATGTTCTATCTTTTCAGCAGAAGGTGGTGCTACAAAAAAGAAAGGTGCTAAGAAGAAGGGATCATCCTTCCAAACTGTTTCTGCACTTTTCAGGGTAAGGCTCACAGCAGGCCCGTAGCCAGGATTTTGATTCGGGGGGGGGGGGCAAGTCTGAGTGAAAGAGGGTCTACCCTAGCAAACCTTTTGTATCGTTACCCCAATACCCCCATGCATATTTAGTATGGTGATCAGATCATGATATGAATAAACATAACATTTTAAATAATGCACCAGTAAGGCCCTCTCGCGGGACCACCATGAGAATTGGGGGGGGGGGCTGAAGCCCCTCAAGCCCCCCCCCCAGCTACATGCCTGGCTCACAGATGTCATAAGAAAAAACAAAGCTCAGGTTGTTTTAGGAAATGGGTTGATCAGTGATCACTGATATATATTAGTGGTGGAGCAAACATGGCCTGCAGATCACAAGCCGTCTCTGAACTCCATCAACTTTGAGCCCCATTTTATGGCCCATGAAGTTTCCCATGTCCTGGAACATCCCGATTTTTAAAAGGACATGCTCAACACTGCTTAAAAATATTTTTGGTTCACAGTTGGTTGAATTTATGAACATAGACTTTGCAGATGCAGAGGATTGTTTATATTATTTTTCATGATAGAGGACTATAGAAGTGTTCAGTGAATGCTCTGGAGTGGCTAGACTAAAACAAGGATTCTGTCAAAGATATATCTGACACCAGTTTGATTGGGTAGATTAAACTAGCCATAAATCTTGTGAGAGAATATTGCCTTAATCAAAACTTTACGTTTCTCCAGATGAAGTAAAATATAGCATTACATTTTAAAAAAAAACACGACTATCTTGAGCCTCTAGACAGATGACTGTAAATGTAACAGGATTTTATTGAGCTACAAAAAGACATACTTACTAATTTAAGGAGCTGTATAAAGTTCTAAAGTTAAACTGTTCAAATTACAGGAAAACTTGAATAAGCTGATGGCTAATTTGAGGACAACTCACCCACATTTTGTGCGCTGTATAATCCCCAATGAGACCAAAACTCCAGGTAATTGACAGAATATGTCATCATGGATTTCTAGAATGACTTCACCAGAACAACAGGAAAAGTTGCAATTTTCTGTTTTCACATATCCAGGTGCAATGGATCACAGGCTTGTCCTACACCAACTGAGATGTAATGGAGTGCTTGAAGGCATTCGAATCTGCAGGAAAGGATTTCCAAACAGAATTGCATATGGAGATTTTAAACAAAGGTCTGTCACCAAAATCTTCTGTAACTAGATAATTTGCATCAAGGTCTTGGAGGGAAAAACATTTTCTTGGTATCTAGATACTTGAAGGAGAATCTCCCCATATTTGTCTGCCTGTGGATGCACAGTTGAGGACCTGAGAGAGGGGATTCTTAGCTGTGACAAATCAATTGTAAAATACCTTTTCCTCGGAGGCCTGATGGGTGCGAACATTGATTTAATTTACACACCAAGTATAAATGATTTGTTGATTCATTTAATATGTATACAAATTTTAGCATGTTTAAAGCAATGTTTAAATCATTATAATGTTTTTAATGTTTTTAGTTTATTTAAAACTGTCAATTGTGTTAAACTGTTTTAACTTGTCAAAAATAGCATATCAGAGTGTTATGCTATATTTGATCCAACAATTGTTGCATCAAATCGGTGTGTTTTTTGTTTCTGAAAAGGATGGAAGTTAATATTGATTTCTATAGGGTGGATCAAATGTCATGAAGGGTTTTCAATATTTAATAACTCCTCTATTTTAGTTATTAGTTTACCACCCCATAGCATAATAGGTTGTATTTATAGGAAATTACATTATGCCGGGGGAAAAAAATCAAATCTTATAAATGGCATCCAATAACATAGCATCATATACAGCATATATAGGACATATTGGTGACTTTTGAACCACCCTATACAATGAATGGAACAAAGTTGAAAAGATGCATACAGATGTATGGCTGTCTTCATATGGTAAGAAAGGGGATGGTAGTCATAATAATAATAATAATAATCATCATCATCATCATCATCTTTATTTGTACCCCACCACCATCTCCCCTAAGGGACTTGGGGTGGCTCACAGAAGCACTTCAAGTGCCACATGCGACAACTATGTGTTATCACTGGTTACGTTTCTTTGTTAGATGGAGACAACTTGTGGTTTCCTAGACATTATGGAGCAGCAACCCCAAGTAGCCTTAACAAGCACAAGGCATGAGGAAGGATGGCTTGCATTCATTCAGTGGGAGCTAGAGTTTAGCAGTGGCCGGATAGCCATAAGTTGCCCATCTCCAACCTAAACCATCAGAAGATATTAGAGGTGTCCTTTCCCCTGAATTTCAGTGCTAAAGGACTTGTTTTTGTTTAAACGGACAGATATCGTGTTCTCAATGCCAGTGCTATCCCAGAAGGCCAGTTTATGGACAGCAGGAAAGCCTGTGAGAAACTATTGGGATCTATTGATATTGATCACACCCAGTACAAATTTGGGCACACCAAGGTAAGCAGTACATCTTTATGCTGAGAACATCAATTAATGTTCTTAAACATGCAAGATTGCAGACTCACTTTGGATTCTCTTTGCAGGTCTTCTTCAAGGCTGGTTTGCTGGGTCTTTTGGAAGAGATGAGAGATGATCGTCTAGCATTGCTAATTACTCGCACACAGGCTATGTGCAGGGGGTACCTCATGAGAATGGAATACCAAAAAATGGTAGAGAGAAGGTAGAAAACTTGCAGACACTTGTTAACTGGCCTTCCACAATTTATTAGATTCTTTTAATTCAATTGTGCTTCTCTGAAAAACAGAGTAAATATAGGGTCAAACTAAACTCCACACAAAAGAGAACCTCACCTCCCACTCCTATCTTCCTGGTTCTCCAACTTCTGAAGCCAAAGTGTGGAGGGTAGCATGGAAGGATGTCATCACATTGAGGTCCACATGGTGGATGATAGCAGGGGGATTCGCCATGCAGCGTAGCAAATCTGCTGGATAGTGGGGAGAAACCATTGCCCTGTACCCTGCATTGACAACATTGCCCCTTACTTATCCCACAGGGGGAAGTGTCCCATGTTCTCATTGCTCCTTCTTTCAACACTTTTACCTCGGTTCAGGGATGGAGCCCCACTGTATTGTAGATGTGTATCATTTGATGGGATCCAGTGGGCTCCGTCCCTGAACTGAGGTGAAAGTGTCGTGAGATGAGCAAATTTGCCTGTGTGATGAGGTCGTCAGTGTTCATGGAGAAGGAAAATCTCTTCCTCTAAGGATAGCTTTTGGACAAAAAATTACTGGGGGGAAATGCAAGGCAATATTGAAAAACAGGTTTTGAATAATCAACTCTTGAATTGCCAGGTTGTTTTTATGTTGGAATTATGCAACCTCATCATTTCCTTTTTTAAATGTAGACTCCTGATGCTTTTGAAGATTTTGCAAATTATTTTATATGTAGAACAGTAGGGAGACTGCAATCAGTTAAGGCCTTTTTTCCAGCCTCTCCTATGGCACATATGGCAATAATCACTCAGAGGACCTTTCCATTGGCCACCCCAAGACTGTGGAATAACCTGCCAGAAGTGATTCAACAGCTAAATCAGCTGTCAGAATATAGGAGACAACTGAAGATTTATCTCTTCTGGCAGGCCTACCCAATCAGTTTTTATATATGATTTTAAAAGTTACATCCCATGCCTACTATATTTTAATCTTTGTTCTGTGTCTTTTAATATGTGTATGTTATAGAATATGTTTAATAATATTTTACTGAATGTTTTTATGATGAAGTGTTTTTCACTATGCGTGGAATCATTTACAAGATCTTCAGTCTTCTCTGCTGCAGAATGCTGGAGCCTCACTGAATTTCAAATCCCAGGATTCCATAGCATTGAACAATGGCAGTTAAAATGGTGTCAAACTTCATTAATTCTATAGGGTACAGTCAGTCCAAGACAGCTGTAATTGGTATTAGAGCTACTGCACAGTTTTCAGACATATATGTTTTAAACTAAAGAAAGCAATTTGTTAAGTGAATGCATATTCTTTTGAATATCGATAGAAGTTGGTAAAATTCCAGTTGAAACCAACTTTTAAAAAGTCTTGTTGTTTCCAGGACTAAGGGTAGTAGTCTGCTTATCCTGATACGATAACTGTTTATAATGAGAAATACTATTTTTTTTAAAAAAAATTGGAAATGTATAGTTAGTTCACTTATTATCTTCATGTAGCATAAACTTTGAAGCCAGTCCAGAGTACCACTACTCTGGACTGGCTCTGGGAGACTACACTATCAGTCTCCTTCCTGCTGCAGCAGTGGGACAAGTGGATTTCCCCTGTTGCCGTTCCAGACTACCATAGAGGTTAACAAGTTTTACCCCATGTTATAGAGCAGAAGTCTTTGGGCATCATGTGGAGCAACTTTTGGACCAATTAGGGTTATAGGGCCAGTGTAGACAAGCTCTAATTCTATGGATTGGTTCTATTCTAGGGAAGCCATATTCTCCATTCAATACAATATTCGCTCATTCATGAATGTCAAACACTGGCCTTGGATGAAGCTGTTCTTCAAAATTAAACCACTTCTGAGAAGTGCCGAGGCAGAAAAAGAAATGGCCACAATGAAAGAAGAATTTAAAAAAACTAAGGAGGAACTTGCTAAATCTGAAGCCAAAAGGAAAGAATTAGAAGAAAAAATGGTATCTTTACTGCAAGAAAAAAATGATCTGCAGCTGCAAGTACAGTCTGTAAGTAACTCAAGCATTAAAATATAGTGTCCTAAATAGATAATTGATATAAATACATTTATTTAATTCTATTTTATCTTAGGTATATGTTTCTTTTTCACTTAGAGTGGGTTTCAATCCAGTATAATACAGTATAACATAATCAATTATATAAAAACAGACAAATATTTATTTATTATTTACTTTATTTCTATACCGCTTTTCTCAGCCCTCAGGCGACTCAAAGCGGTGATAGTACAATCCAGAATAAAAACTCAATTGTTTCAGGGAAGATCCCCTTGAAAGCCCCACCTATGCGGGCAAAATCAGTATGTGGATGCCTGTAAACCTACTTATATCTATGTTCCTGCCCCTTATTGATCCCAAACAAGCCATTCTAAAAACAGGTACCTTTGACTTCACTGTATGCAGAGCCCCTCAAGTCTTCCCATATCTCCAGGACCGCACAACAGTTTTATCTCTCATTGATTTTAGCGAAGTTTTATTTGTTGTTTTTAGAAAGGGAACTACCAATGAAAAACTAGCAAAAACTTCACAAAATAAGTTCCTATCTCCACCATTGCAGTTGTGGGTACATTGTAGACTAGTTTTGTCTTCTGAAGAGTCTTCATAGGGTAGCTCTAATCCAGGCCTGGACAACCTATGGCTCTCTGGGTCTCTTGGACTCCAACTCCCAGAAGCCATATCCATCTTGTCCAGTGGTCAGAAATTCTAGGATCTGAAGTTCAAAACTCCTGGAGGGCCACAGGATGTGCAGATCTAATTCATGCTTCCTTCTTAGGGAGATCAGTACTATTAGTGGAGAGATACGTATGTTTAAAACCAATATTAAAATTCTGCATAAAACACTAGTGAAAGGAAAGGAAGACAAGACAAGAGGAAATGATTATCATTTGTATGTTTCATCTTAAAAACTGCAAAATGATTTAGGATCTATAGTATTACTTAAGGACACCTGTGAACAGTGGGATTTTGGCTCCCATATGGCTTGGAAAGGGAAGAGGATTTCAAAAATTGTAGTCCTCTATTCTAAAGGAGTTTTGAAATCTTCTCTCTTTTTCAAGTCATATGAGACTATTTCTTGGGATAAAAATAAGCTTAGTTGAGTTGTCTGAGCATGGAAAAAGGAGATAGAATGACAAAGCTATTAGGTGCCTTTAAACTGAAAATTGCATACTGTTATACTGCCCATTAGGGTTGAAGAATGATTTTTCTCTCTCTCCCTGCTCCTTTTTTAAAAGGAAGGTGAAAACTTAGCAGATGCAGAAGAAAGATGTGACCAGCTGATCAAAACTAAAATTCAGCTGGAGGCTAAAATCAAGGAGCTGTCTGAAAGGGCAGAGGACGAAGAGGAGTTGAATGCAGAGCTGACCTCCAAAAAAAGGAAACTAGAGGATGAGTGTTCCGAGTTGAAGAAAGATATTGATGACCTTGAGTTAACTCTGGCCAAAGTTGAAAAAGAAAAACATGCCACTGAAAATAAGGTAGCCAATTTTATGCATTTTCTTGTTTTGATAGTATATAGATAAATGCTGGTGAATTCAATTGCAACATAAACTCAATATTAACATGTTTTTATAGGCTCTTTTAGAAAGGTTGGTTTTTCTGTTGCTTTCCAGATGTGCACAAATATCATAAAACTTTCCATTTTCAGTTACAAATTGTAACTTTTACTTTTGAAATTGTGTCCTTCTTTGTGCCTTTGTCTGCACAGTAAAATAACTTTGGCAAAGGACAAGTGTAAAGAGAGACAATATCTAATTGGCGCATGAAATCATCCTGGTTCAATCATTTCCATTGTGAGAATGTGATCAAAATTTCAAATGATCACAGCATAATCAACAGGATTATGTTGTCTTCTACAGGTCAAAAACCTGACAGAAGAAATGGCAGTTCTGGATGAAACTATTGTGAAGTTAACCAAGGAGAAGAAAGCCCTCCAAGAGGCCCATCAGCAAGCTCTTGATGACCTACAAGCTGAAGAAGACAAAGTCAACACACTCACTAAAGCTAAAATAAAGCTGGAGCAACAAGTTGATGATGTGAGAAAGTGAATCCCAGTCACTCCCAAATTTTTGCAACTTGCTTCTAAGTTATACCTGCTCCCCTAGTGGAATCTACTTGTGATCAAGCAAAGTGAATGCTGAAGGCACGAGAGGATGCTGTTCCTATTTGCATTCACTCTTGCCTTCAGCAAAATAATAAATATATTTTGGAGTGGTAATATTTTCAGGTCTCTGCAGAAGAATAAGGGGTGCAGGCTCTTGTTTCCATTGATTATACAGTATGTGTAAAAGCAGAAGGAGGTTTCTTTATGATTTTAGCCATCCAGCTAGAGAGGAAGTTTATGCTGAGAGAATGATGGAAAAGCTCATATCTGTGAACGACTATTCCCTTCAGAGTCTGAATGTCCATTCAGACATTCCCACTTTCTGAATATTGAGGTTAACCCAAGAGAGGAATACCAGCTGCCCTGGGATCCTTTCTATGGGTTTCAGGCATTAATTGGCACTAACATTAAGCTTGTGTTACAGCTGGAAGGCTCCTTGGAACAGGAAAAGAAAATCCGCATGGATCTTGAAAGAGCCAAAAGAAAATTAGAAGGGGACTTGAAACTTGCCCAGGAATCCTTAATGGATCTAGAAAATGACAAACAACAGCTTGAAGAAAAACTGAAAAAGTATGGACTGTTTAAATTGAAGTTTAATATTCAGATATGATTAGTGAACTACTTTTTAATTATTACCTCTTCTGTCCTTTTACAGGAAAGACTTTGAGTTTAGCCAACTGCAAAGTAAAATTGAGGATGAACAAAATTTGGGAATCCAGCTACAGAAGAAAATCAAAGAACTTCAGGCATGAATTATTTACTTCACATATTTCATTCCAGCTCATTTTTATGTGATAGCAATAAGAATATTTGATGTATAATAGATATAATGACACACGCCTTCCTGACTCTAAAGCTGAAATTTGGCTGAATATATCCAAATACTGGTTGAGATCCTGTGGTCATTTCTAGAGTAAGGGTTATACATGTGGAACTTCCCTAGGCTTCTCCTGTCATTATATTCAGTGCTATATCTCTGAGATATACCACCATGTGGCTGTTGGAGAACAGAAGGGATTGGAGAAGCAACTGCTTATGTCTTCACTGGCAGATGTGGACTAACAACCTCATCAGATGAAGTTGTCTTTGCATCTTCTCCCCATGTCTCTACCCTGTTGAAACGGAATCCCATGGAGTCCATTACATGACGCAAGGCAATTTCAGATGGGACTCCATGGGGCTGTTTTGGCAGCATAGAGAAATGGAGCCCAGAGTGCCTTTTGAGGAATCAGGTTATCCAACTCCTAATTGGAGAACATGAAGATGATGCTCAAAAGGTTAGGAAAGGACAGGAAACAATGTGTCATGGGAGGCAATCCCAGAAGACAGGGAAAGATGGTAGGGAATGAATGACAGTTCTCTCCACCTGCCTGTCTGATGTGGTCCTGTCAGGACCTGCCAGGAGGCATCAGCAGATGATGCCATTTTACATTGCCAGATGTTCTGTTCTGCATCAGCAATGGAATAGGTGTTGCAGGTGCACATTGCAATGACACAGTACATTCAGATAGTTGTGGAGGGAGGAAGGAAATATCAACATCTCTCCATCTCTCTCTCTCTGTCTCTCTCTCTCTCTCCACACACACACACACACACACAAATGTGAGCTGCAATTACACTTGCATTCTGTAACAGAATGCTAGCCAATGGGTTTCATCCTAAATATGTGTTTTTCATCAGATATTTAAATGTAAATATGTTCAAGCACTCCAGCAAAGGATCACCGCCTTGTCGGGGCGCTGGAGCTTGAGCACCTCAATGATGTCATGAGCG